TAGGGTTTAGGGTTTAGGGAGCTGGTCCCCGGACCCTCTCCTCGGCATCGATCCAGGGCACCATGCTCGCCACCGCGACGACGGGAGCTTCATGGCAGCTGGTGCTGACGAAATACCTGGGCTTGCAAACTCAGAGGGTTTTAACAGTCACCCCTCCACCCACCCAACAAAGATTTGAACCGGTTTGGGTTCAGGGTTTAGGGTTTAGGGAACCATGAAGATTCCAAGATTGCCCACGCTAGGCTTCATACCGGGCCACTGGTCTGCCCTCTTCAGGCCTCGCGCGGCTTCTCCTCGCAGCTCGTAAGAGCCGCTGCGACTGGAAGGTGAGGTGCAAGTGTCTGGGCAATCGCCATCTGAGAGCCTTGGCAAGAACCGCTGAAAATGGCTTTTGGCGCTGGCTCTAAACGACGCCTGAAGGATGAATGGCTTTAATTCCTTGGGTCCGTCAGAAGCTGAACCTTCGGGCAGATTCCTTGCCGAGCATCTCAGGCGGATCGGAGAACCGAACGGCCACGATGACCGTGAAGTTGAGGATCAAAACGAAGTTCAACGGAATCCAGCATGGACGGAAGGATTTCCAAACTCTACAGAACTGAGTCATCGAGACTTGGGCCGGAGCGGCTGCGCGATCCGAACATGCCTGCTTGCTAGGCTCGGCCCTCGCAGCCTGGTGGGGCCGAGGAGGTGCTGTCGGACAGTCAGAGCTCCGGAACCCATGGCTTCGGGGCTGGTACCACAAAGCCGAAAAGTGGACACCTCAAACCATCGAGTTCAACAGCCAAGCGGGCAGAAATCTAAAAGGTCGCCTGCAGACGTCTGCGCGTGGCATCGCCGACCTGTCTGAGGCTCTTGCAGACTTCGCGGCCGCACACTTCAACATCAGACCAGAGCCTAGACCCCAACATCCTGACTCCAAGAGTTCAACTCCTCATGTTTTCGGGGTTTGGGAGAACTAAACTGTAACTTTCACCCTAAACCCTAAACCCTAAACCCTAAGCTGTAACTTTCTCCGATTCACTTGCCCTTGCAGCAACCTGGAAGGGGCCCGCATCCGGTCGTAGGCGGCTCAGTCTGACGACATCGCCTGCAATGTAAACTACTGATGCTGTCCTATACTCGGTTTAGGGTTTAGGGTTTAGGGTTTAGGGTTTACCCGTATGACAGCACACCTGCAAAAGCTCATCTACAAGCACTCGTGCTCGGTCTGAAATAACATCGAACATGCCTCTTTCCAGGCATCTACTGCAACACATCACACCGATGCACTACCGATGGTGATACTTCTGCCTCGCCTGCTCCAGCACGCTCATCCACAACATCATGGTAATCACTCCATCTACCCTGCCCTAATCCCTAAAACCTAAAACCCCCTGTAGCCCTGTAGTCTCGAACCGTGGGTCGCTTCGCTTCAACCCCTGCTTGTGTAACTACGCCCCAAGGCCCAAACCAGACTTAGGGTTTAGGGTTTAGGGTTTGATCCAAGAAAGAGCATAGCAAGACGCAAAGCCTACGAAGGCCTCAACTGCGAACGAAGCGCACAGTCTTGTCTAGTCCGTGCACGTCTGGAGTCTCACACCCGACGCCTTGAAGAAATCCCACGCATCCCCGTGCCCACGAACCCCACCCTGAAACCTAACATCCGAATGATCAACCCTACATCTTGGACACCTAGACGCCTACAGCCTAACATCCCAGACCCTGAGCCTAAACCCTAAACCCTAAACCTTAAACCCTGAACCCTTTTCCCCTAAACCCTACACCCTTAAGCCCTGCACCCCTAAAGACGACAAGTGGCACTTCACTGTGATCAGAAGCTCGGAGCTCGCCGCTCGTGGCCGTGGGCACAACCCCAAGCTCCAAAGTCACCTTTCGGGTTCTTTGGGATTTAGGGTTTAGGAGTTTAGGGTCTAGGGTTCTTTGGGGTTTAGGATTTAAGGTTTAGGGTTTAGCTTTCTTTGGGGTCTAGGGTTTAGGGTTTAGGGTTCTTTGGGGTTCAGGGTTTAGGAGTTTAGGGTTTAGGGTTTAGGGCCAGGCCTTCTTGGGAATTCCGGGTTCTTTGGCTCAGGGTGTAGGATTTGGGGTTTTTGGGGCTTTGGTTTAGGGTTCGGGGTGTTGGGCTCAGCGTTCTTTTTGCTGTAGGGTTTAAGTTAGCCGAACATGTTCGCGTGAAGTCCCGTGGCAATGCAACATAATGTTGAAGCACATCTCAACCATAGAAAAAATGATGAAGCCGAGATCACACGAGCCAGCAGCATGTGCAGCAAAAAGTCGTCTCCCTCTATGCACACTATGTAAGACAACCTCATCGGGGGATTGTTGCGCCTTTGGAAAGACACATTAAAGTCGAATCTACCGCGCCTGCCACATGAAACAAGCTTCTTGTTGTAGTTGTTGATGCTTCTACAGTTGGGAAATGCTTAAAACTGGGATGTTGGCAACGCTCGTCGGTGTTTCGGCCTGTTGAGGCTTCGATGCGGTAAGTAGTAGAGCGAAAGTATTACTACGAAACATACCCAAAGTACCGCACCTGTCACACGAAACAGGGTTTAACATGGAACTGTGGATGTACCGAAACAAATCGTCGTGTGACATGACATGATATGAAATCAACGAATTTGACAGGAAATGAAATGAACAGGACATGATAGGACATGAAATGATATAACATGACATGATACATGACGTGTGATATGTCCTGACATCACATGGTTTGAGGAAAGATGTTCCTGCCGGACTTGCAAACCACAGCACCGTCCTTCAGGAAAACAAACTTGCGCCCGCTGATAAAGGTACGCTTGACCGCCAAAGGCTCAAGCCAAGCAAGCTGGAGGTCCCACGCACAGCTGCGGAGTGATAGTACCTATAGAACCAGTGCTACATATGCCCTGGTTTATATAGGGTTCCTGCAAAATCCAATGAAGCTATGTTGAGTTTTAATGTATTGTAGCAGCCTACACAAAGGTAGTTCTGACTGGTTCAAGCATATGTGTGTACCTCTCTGCGCAAACATCTCGGATGAAACCAGTCACGAAGGCTCCGAACAAGCGAGCCGTTGCAGAGGAACTCGATGGAGTTCCTTGGTGAAGAAATAGCTGTCAGCGGCTCAAGCATTGCTTCTGTCCAACATGAGATCCATGGGAATCCAAAGGCTAAGGAAAGTGCCGAAAAGAAACAATAGTTTCCAATTGTCAGTGGGGTTGCAGTCTGGTTTAGGGTTTAGGGTTTAGGGTTTAGGCAGGCCCAGCCCAAGCTTGCGCCAGGGCGCCCAACGACCCGGGAGCTGTCGAACTTCAGCCGCCTCCTCTGCCACGTGCGCTGCGTGTCCACGCGGTGGTTGCCATCCTGCACTTCTGCGGCTTCAAATTTTGCGAGTTCCGCAACATATTGCCTGTGCCTGCGACAACGAGGCATCAGCCTTCGCTTCACTGCATGCTCATGGCAAGTCGACTGCATCCTGGGCAGGGCCATCCTACTCTTGAGTTCCGCTCTCCCTGTCCACTTTTCCAACTCTCAGGCGAAAGCGCCGTTCGGAATTGTGTCTTCTGCACGCCCGTGGCTCCGCACAACTGTTCGAAGCAGAAACTACTACTTCCCTTTAGGCGGTGGAGGCGACTTTCCAACTGACAGCTCCGACCTTTGGGTGCTCACTTGAGTGCTGCGACGGGTGCTCCCTTGGGTGCTTTGGTCATCCACGGAACTCCACCACGACTGCTCTGCTTTCCCCGACGTGCCCGACATATCCGACTTCGGTGGGCCAGCAGAGCCCCAGAAGGAGTCGGGAAGCACCCGCTTGCCTCGAACCACAACAGGAGGCGGCTTCCCCCCTGACAGCTCCATCGACCCGGTCTCCGCAGAACCAGCGGAGTCTGTGGAGTCAGCTGTGCCGAGCTTTGCCCAGAAGGAGTCAGCGTCCAGTGAGTCCGGAGGCAGTGCCCAGGATTTTCCTCCGGATCCGGCAGTAGGAGCCTTCCCCAGCAGAGGCTTCATCATGTCCTTTGCTAGAGGTAGCGGCCCCTTTGCACGCGGAGGTCGCAAAGCCTCCTTCTCCTGTGGAGCCGGGGGAGGCAACGCCTCCTTCTCTGGTGGAGGCGGAACAGCGTGCTTTGATCGCGGGGGTGGCAGCGTATCTTGCGGCGTCTCCTCGCGCTTCTTGGGAACGGGCTGGCGCATGAACCAGATATATGTCCCTTCATCCCACATGAGCATGGCATAGGCGCCAGCAACTCGCTGCCAGTGGCCCAAGCCACCCGTGCCCATCATGACTTGGATTCCGTAGCCGGGCCACTTGGCCGTGGCCTTTCCACCGATGCACTCACACATCTGCGTCTTGCTCGAGTCTACGCATTCAGGGGCTGCGAAGTCTCTCAACCATTCGAGGTCTTCCTCGGACATCCTCGCGGATCGCAGCACGTACGGGTAGACTAGTCCTGGTTGCGTGCTCTCCGGGCTGCTGCCCGTGTGGCGTACTGCGGCACAAGCTGAGACGAAGAGAGTAGCGACGATGGCTCTCATGGTCTCCAGGCACCAGCTCCAGGCTCCGAGTCCAGTGTTTCACAAACAACGGTCTTTCCACGCATTCGATAGGGTTCTGACATTTGTCTGGTTTGAGCAAGCAACAGAGGCGCACTTGCAACAAGGGCAGAAACAACCGCAAACACATGAATGCAATCTCAGATGCATCTCTCCACGCCACTGTAGCTTGTCTTGGAATAAAACATGCAAAATATGGCAAGATTCTTCCCTGGCTTCGTAGATGCCTATAGGACCCTGCGACATTTGCACGCTGAGCTCCTGCATTCCGCCGAGCAGAGCCTGCTGAAGGGCTTCCGGCACCTCAGAGGAAGAAGAAACCGCTGTGCCCGCTGTAAGCCCATGGAAAGGGCCTCAGGGAGAGCTACCTTTTGGCGGTCAGACCCATTCAAAACAATGTTTCGGCAACCTACTGCCTTCAAGCAATATCTGAAAGAGGCTCGTACAGCTACTGCAGATCCTGCCATCCAACATGCCTCGGCATCAGTAATAAGAGCAAACGAGGCCAAGAGTAAGATTATCCGCCTTCTTCTAAAGAGCCGCTCTCTGTTGAGTTTGCACATAAAGGCGATTTACTATACATATGTATGTAGATATATACACATACCTGACATATATGTATACGGTTCCATACAGGCAAAATGAGCTTTTCTCATCTGAGCAAGTTCATCCGATGCGGTTAACTGCGATAGGCACATCT